TTACAGTTAACAGCTAAAACGGAAATAAAAGTATCGACTTCATTTCAGACTGATATAACTAGATAAATTTAAGATGAATTATTCATAATCTTAAAAAAGTTATATTTGTGAAATATTTTCATAACGTTACTATTAAATAGCATGTATTTGTTGAAAATTAAGTAACGCTATTAATGTTTATGTTACTAGTTTACCACATAATTATCGAATTGCCGAAACACATTCCAAAGAATGCTAAAATGGTTAACTAACTATGCCTGGTAAGCTATAACTTAAAAAGTATCTACATTGTAATTAAACAAAAATAAACATCACGATTCAATTTCTGAAAAAAATCCTTAAGAGTTATATAAAGCTCTTCTTAAGGCCAAAACAGATTGAAATTTTAGTGCAAGAAAAATATTTCTGTTGAATTCTCGGAATGGGAGAATAATGCAAAATTATTTTTGTTCGTTAAATGAATATACGAAAATACCATAATATAGAATATATCAATCTCTGAAGTATTTAGGACAAATGATGTAGTTTCTGTTATCCTGGCCGTGGGATTCGTTTAAGTTTCTGTTATTTCACGAAAAGTGAATTCTAAGCTTTTTATTATGCGGGAGCAATGCTTTCAAGATTAAGCATGACGATCATCGTATGAACATCATCGAAAACTCTCTTCACATTCTGGGTATCCGTTGCTGTAGTATAATGCCAAAAGCAGTCTCGAGGCTTCGAACATCTCCGATCACAGTAAGTATCGCTGGATCTGCAAGATCTTGGTATAGTCGGTTGCTTCTTTGTTTCGGCCTAATGGAAAAAAAAGAAGATTTTTAAAATTTAACAAAGTATTTTACATTAGTATTTTTTTTTTTTTAATTCCAGACATTCTGGAACATTTATGAGGAATGTCCGAACTCATCAATGGTTTATTTCATCACCGAGATAGTATGTAATTTTGCTAGAAATGCTTGAGCCTATCAATATTCATGTTCGATTCTTAAGATTTTTCTAAAGGTTAAATGGAAATGTTACTTAGAATTTTCTCTTTATTTATTCTTATGCCCGTTTTACTGCATTCTTATTGTTACATAAAAAAAAAATAGAAAAAGTAATAGATGCAGTATCGATGTCTTTAAAACAAACTAATTGATGATATAAATCAGCAAAATATTCACAAAATCGTGTATTTATCTTCCATATTGTGCTCAATAAATAATAAAAATTATTTCTTTGAAAGTTATGCTCATAGATCTATCACAGAATACCAGATTTTCCAAATACATGTTTCATTATTTCATATTTACATAAATATAGTATGAAGGATTATTCTTAGTAAGAAACTTCAATGACCTAAAAGGATAATGATGTTTTTTAAAATGAAAATGCGCTTATTTCAGTTTCGGTTCAAATATGATCACGGCTGTTTTATAGACCTCATAACATTCAGATTGCTGGGGCCTAGAATTTCAGAGGGACCTGCAAGATATCTTCGCATTAGATAATTTTTCTTACATTTACTGAAAACATACACAATACCTGTCACAAATTATACTGAGACTTTGTGGAAGAAATGAAAATTGAATAATAGTAAGGTTTATCCTAAGTTTTTAACAGTTATTTTTAGTTAAAGCTACTTTCCTGTCCCTTTTAATTTCAGCTTACAAGTTTAGTTCCTGCCAAGGTGCGTTTTTAGAATCTCGGTTAATGCAGATAAAGGAAGAGCAGTACTTAAGTGGAAGTTCCACTGAGTTCGTTAGAGAGCCAGAGATTCTGAGTAGCGCACGTTTGTCTTTTGGCTTCACTCTCTCTAAGCTATTACTACGCTCGGCCGTATTTCAGGCCTTAATAGCTTCGTCGTTTAGTTAGCATTTAAGGGGCTAACTCTTGTAGAATTTTGATAGCTTCGGCTATATCTTTTTAGTTAAGCATTAATTAAGTTTGATTTTCTTAGTACTTTTGATTTCAAGCCCAAGTGGAGGCTTTTCTGTAAGTCTTGAGAAAAGAGCCATCTGTTAATTCTTACTTTGAGCAATAAAGAGTAATTAACCCTTGAGTTTACGTTTCTGTTTCTTGAGCTGAAGCGATTATTTGCTTACCAGTTCTGAAGGTTCCACAAACATAGCTGTAAATCCAAGGTTGGAACCCTATAGACTAAAAAGCATTATGCGACAAGCATAAATAAAAATTAATAAAAATATGTGTAATTTCTAATTGAAACAGTACTTTAAATTCTCGAAGGTAAAACTACTAATCGCCTAAGCCGTGACACTTTGGCTGTAGAACCTGTTGAATATTCGTCCAGTAACAACTGCTGCCTTCCACAAATCTTCCACAAAAGTATCTTATTTTCTTAGGCGTATATATCCTTTGTGTGCTTTGCCGTAATCCATATAACCTAACCTTCTGCCGAAACTGTCATCTTTAGACACTTAACAAAATTATGCTTGTTTATTTTAACCTGAAGCTCTGGAAAATATATCATATAGATGGAATCACTTGTAAGTAAATGTTTTAATACTAATTTATTGAAAATATGGGTTTAATTTAAAAATAACTAATTCACACTCATAACCGTAGTGGAAAATTTTGGTACATATATTAATAAAGTAGGATAATAATGGATCAAAGTCGTGTTTTTACCAGCTAAGGTAGAAAAATGGAATACAAACGATAAAATAAAAGAAGTTTTCGTAATTTATTTTCTGTATAATATAAAAAAAAATGGCGGGTTCTCTTAATAAATCCTCCACAAAAGGTATCTAATTCCATAAACAGAGTTGAGCGTATTTAGTTCTGTATAAAACATCCGAAATTAGTTCCTGTAAATGCATCCCGCTTTAACTATATTTTTTTACGTATTTACTGAAAATATGAATGATATTTAACAAAGGATTATGTAATAATTTATGTTGCTATTACAAGCTGCAGTACATGCAAAAATTAAACAGGATGATTTTCAGATGAAACATAATAATAATTTTCTTATTCGATTATCTGCTTTGCATTATTTCGGAACTCGCTATCCAAAGCGGTGAACCAATGATTGTCATTAACTGTCATTTTTAATTATGATCACGAACTCCTAGGCCATATATTTGAAAAATCAGGCCAGTTACTATCCTAATTACTTAACTGTAATTACATACTGCAATTATAAATACAGCTGCATTGTAATTGAAGTTATAGTCATAACTACATTGTAATTAGAATTACTTTGTAATTGCAATGTTACTGCAATTGAATTGTAATTAAATTTCACAGTTACTAAGTGATTGTAATTAGATTATACAATAACTGTCATGTATCTGGCTGCAGTCAGCCAATCAGTCATGGTAAGAATCCAGCAGACTAGAGTTGTCTGCAAAAGTGTGGTAGGGCGTTTACGCCTGAGTTCGAGTTTCGATTTTAGCCAGCATTGGTTGATTTAATTTGTAAGGTATTGAACACCTGTGTTTCATTGGAGTTATTTTTTTAAATCATATAATAACAACCTCATGTAAATATTTGTACATAAAAGTCGTGCTTCTATATAATAAAGGGTTAAAATTCTAATAATGTATTGTGTCACGTCTCTGCCATCCCGACAAGCATGACAATAATTTTATAATTACAATTACAATGTAATTGCAAATGCATTGTAATTACAATTACATTGTAATTTTAATTGAAAAATCTAATTTATATCTAATTAAAATACATTGCAATTGCAATTACATAGTCAAATTACTATTGCAGTGTCATTGTAACTGTAATTGCAATTAGATTTTGCCCAACAGTACTGAAATACATAAGGTAAAAAAAAAAAAAAAAAAAAAAAAAAAAAAAAAAAAAAAAAAAAGGGAATATAGAGTTCAGAAGAAGACAAATTGTTGGTGTTTCTCTGGCTTTTATATCTATTGCTACAAGACAGCAAGTTATTTTTTTAATGTATCGAGAGGCATAATCCGCAGGATCATGTCCGCATACCTAAAAAATTGAAGAACTTCGTTATTACTTCAAAATAATTCCTTAAACTTAAGTTACCTGAGTAGGATGTTAGAGTGTAAGAATAAAATTTTAGCCGCTTCCAGAAGAATAAAAACTTTCTAACTTGTAGCAATAAACTAAACTAAAAACTTGCTATCTCTAAAGACCTGTCTGATCAAAATAAACTTGTCGGACTAGAATAAAAACTCGCTGCTCAAATTATAGCAGAGCGTACCATTCTTCAGAATTCACCAATTTCTACTAAAATGCCTGTGGGAAACTTTATGAGTCTTTTTTTTTTTTTTTTTTTACATAAATAAAGATTAATGTTCATCGTCGGGTGGCTGTTGCAAAGACCGATGAGTAATGTTCGTGCTAAATGCTGGTTCCAAAAATGTCCTCAAGCAAAATTGGACAGTACTTAATGCAAAATGTGTATTGGTCAGCGTCTTTACCACTTTGCGAAAGATTCATTAAATGAATAGGTCTCTCAGAGACCCACCGTCCGGATTTATGCATTTTTTGCGAATTCTGATTTTTCTGGGCTGTCTCCTGAATCTGCATTTTTGAGAATTCTGATTGTTCTGAGCTGTTTTTTGAATCTGCAGTGGTGGGTCAATGACATCATTATCAAAGACTGTTGATGAATCAAATACACCTAGATGTTCAAACTTCGTATCCTCAACGGCGTACCGTATATCAAGGTAACAATTCTCCATTTCACCGCAAAACTGGTGGCAGATAGTGGATATGAAAGTGAATTGGAATATCTTTCGCAATCTGCAACAAATTCCTAATTTTAATACCACTGAGCCCATCTGGGATGTTCTACAGGACAGATTTAAAAGTTTTTTTTCTGTGCTATCATGAAATGAATCAACTGTTTTGCAAGAATGTTGACTGAAAAAAAAAGGGGGCTTTAATGATGAAATAAGACTTGTGCTGGTCATTTTCAAGAATAATAGCTGCAGTTATCACACTTGGCTACAGTCCCTGCTAGACGGGACTTTTTTGAGAAACGAGATTCTGGTAGCATTGGTTTAAGTGGGACTATTCCTAGAAAAAAGAGCCCCGACGGAAGTGAGCTCCCGCCTAGTTACGGAAACTATGTTGCGACTACGCGGGATTTTTTCAAACCTCACCGAAAATGTCTCGGGTAGAGTCAACCAATCAGACGAAAGTTCTGCTTCTAAAGGATCACGGGTAACTTCCAATATGGCAATGGCTGGAACAGCACGATCGTGAACGGTGGAAATAGAAGCCAATTTTATTGACGAAATTCAAAAGAAACCACATTTTAAGAATGTTTACATACTAATTAAATGTATAATCGTTGGCGCTTCAGAGTTGACAGTATTTTATGAAATTTTTATTTTCAATACTTTAGATGACTTGTTTACAAATTATTCGTTGCCAAAAGTTCGCCAAATTCTCACATTTCTGCTGAGCGATCTGATACCGTGTAGAAATGTTAGCTTTACTACTGAATTTATTTTATTAAATCTAAGGTAAACAATTTTGGAAAATCTTTTTATATATGCACGACTTCACTTTTCTACTAGTTATTTTTCAAACTGTTTATTGCATAATAAGCAACATGTAAACAACATCAAAGATGCATAAAAAAGGAAAGCATTGCTTTAGTAATTGATGACAATACTAATTAAATTTGTGTACTATTATTTTAATGTTTTTAACAAAATACTTTTTAGATTATAAATACATAAGAAAGAAACTGTATTTTTATTGTAAATTCTACATATTGATACATTTGAATTGTGAGTAAAATCATTTGTATATACATTCTTTAATGTAAATCTCCTTAGTTATATTAACAGACATACATGAACAACTACAAACCATCGTATATTTATGTATATGTAAATATATGACTTATTAGATGTGTATTTATACGTTTATACGTAGTTGATAGCAGTTGTACTGATTAGTTCTTTGCACATTATACTGCTTATGTAATACACAGTTAAAAAATAACTGATGAACATCGATATTAAAGAGTGTACACTTTTTGTTTTTGGAGTAATACATTATTATATCATATGTATGATTTACATAGAATACACATGACTTATAAGATAATAAGAAATTAATAATAAGAAGAAATTTAACAGCTATGCTTAATTTAACAGCATGTATAATATTTGGTCACTTAAACATACAGTGCACAACTGATTATTGCTTTGGCATGTATCTACTTAAGGAATTTCATAGTACTTTCTCATTAGCCACCCTTACTGATTTCAAAAGGCAGTAAAATTAACGTTTCTTCTCTTTAGCTTTCAGAATCCCCAGTGTCGAGATCAAAGTGATGAATTTAATAGCCACCACCTTTCTGTTATCTTAAATAATAACAAACAAGTTTAAAATGTTTAATAAAATATACATTCCGCACAGTTTCATAGGCATTATTTGCTTTACGAATATATATATCAAAATGTTTTTAAATTTACTTTGTATTACGTGTATTAAAGTCTTCATTTTCCATTTAAAATATTATATAAGTTGATTATTATGATGCTGATATTTTCCCGCAGATATTTTTAGTCAATTTTAGTTCTGCTTTCGCAGCTATTGAAACCGAAATTTTAATTACGATTCCTGCAACGATTTACGAAATGGTTTCCAAATTAGTTACTCACGGTGTAGATGGAGTTTGATGCATTTCTTTTTAAAAATAAAGATCAAACAATTGCTTATTTTCCATTTTAATCTCATTCTAACAAGTACATTTTTGAAATTTTACTACTGTTATGTAGTTTCACAGTACAAATACTTGAGTTTATTGGCAGTTTCTCCACTATACACTTCCGCAATATAAATTTTTAAATTTCGTATAAAATCAAATAAAGAAATAATCAAATAAGCGTCTAACTTTGCACTTAAATGGGCTTTAAAAAATTAAAACTTTTGGATTATTTATAAAAATTTATGAATAAGATCATGGGTAATGGCTGTTCTTTAAATATAAATTAAAATCTTACCAAAAAAAGGTCTCTAATGAAGCATCGTGCTTTTTCATATTCATTACTAATGTTTGGATCTGTAAAAAAAAAAAGAAAAAAAGAAAAAAAAAAAAAAAAAAAAATCGAAATATTTTGTGCAGCAAATATAGTTATATAGTTATTTCAATAAATAGAAATATAAGTTTAAGCAAGGAGAAAAGAAAATGAAGAATTATCAAGAGTAAATTAAATCTAATCCAAACAGGGCCGTGCAAAATACTGCTTCTGCTTAGTAAATATTGATTTGCTGTTTACATTAAAATAATAATAATAATAACACTTCAAAAATATAAAGCAGTGTTTTCCTATTTTAACTGAACAGTTGAAATTTTGTTTATTAGTCCAAACGGGCTTTGTCCCTGAAGGACTATTGTTTTCATTTTGCGATTTTGCGTTGGTTCACTATAAATGTCCGTTTCACTTTTCAAACTGTTCCCATCAAATGTTAGAGTCTTGCATTATATTTGAAGAAATTAAATAATGAAAAACCTGCATAAATGTATGTATGTATGTATATTTCTCGCATTGTGATAAGACCGATGAACACTAGTAGTTCGACCCGAATTCTCAGGGAATGGGCTAGCTGCATAAGTGTTTGCGAGGTTTGTCAATACGTAACGTGAATATGAGTCATGTTGCCGAAAGAAATGTTCTACTAAGGCATTCTTAATATTAAGCAGATAGCCTTCTTTATTTTCTCCATGCTTCAAGCATGCATCATTGAATTGAGCCACAGTCAGTTTTACTCTCTTTCTCTCTAGTCTTTTCAAATCTTTTATTTACCCCTTTTCATTGGCGAATGATCCTCTCCCAGTTTCATCACATGATGAATCTTGGAAAACTCATTTTTATCGTTCCGATAAATGGGAATCAATGGATGGTTATGCTTCAACCGATTTATTTAGAAGATTATACCCACTTGCTAATGTCAATTCTGGTGCCGAATTGAGAAAGTTGGCGTTCTGTAGACTCAACTCTTACGTCGTCCACGAACGTTATTGCTCTCCAGATCAGTGGCGTAAATAAGGGTACGCAAGGAATGCAGTCGCATAGGAGCCCGAGCCCATGAACGTCCTGCTGAACTACATTTACATATTTAAACTTAAAACACGTATAAAAATCTATTGTATATGCAGTGTTCAGTATACAATAGAATTCTTCTTCTTTTAAGTTTTTAAGAGTGGGGAAAACCCATACATATATGATCTGGCGAATATTTCCAATGGTCAAGACAAGTTTTTGAACTCAGCATTCACGCGGCTTGGCAAATACCCAGCTTTTTGAGAGCTGTCAATTGACGTGGCATGAGATCTTTAAGTTATATTTCTAATTATGACTGGTTAACATATTGAAGCATTTTAAAACATTGAACACATTTATTAATAATTTAAAGCTGCATTTCATTTTAATGATACTTGTAATCGATATAATTTAAAGTATATTTAGTTTATATTATAGCCACTTAATAATCATGAACATTTGCAGTTTTACAGTGGTCAATAACAGATGTTTCAAGCCTTGCATATTACGTACTCCAAAATATTTTTTTTAATTGTTAAATTTAAAAAATTCTAAATTTCTCTAATTAGAGATCAGCATAAAAGTCTAAATTTGTATTTTCTCTAACTTAATTACCGAAAAGGTCAGGTCAAAAAGGAATAAACCTCATATAAGTTAGGCAGTTTAATAATAAATATTATAAACATATATTTTTTGACAAACTATTAATATATAAATTGACAATATTATGAAGTTACAGAACCCATAAATAATAACTAAAAATCTATTTATATTAAAAGTAAACAATCATCAAGAATATATTGAAAAATAAAGAATGGCACGTTTGTTACGTTCTTTCTCTCCATAAATCTCTTTTGTATTGAGATTTTTACTGTTTTTGGCTGGTTGAATTGGTCGCAAAGGTTGCAAGGGCTGTCTGCCTTAAGAGGGTGATGCTTTCTGCATTACATAAGAAGAAAATCGCGAACGCCTCATGCAGCCAGATAGTTCTTTAGGGTTTGAAATCGTCCACACAAAGAAAACTGAATTACTAGATAGTAACTGCGTGGAGGAACCACGCGAAGAATATATATTGTTTATACTGAAGATGATTTTTTTTAACCTCTTTCAGCAGTGCAATAGTTTAAACTGATATTTCAATTTTTTTTTATATTCATCTAATTCCTGTTCTGTGTATTAATTTTGTGTACTTTTGAGAATTTAACATGAATACATTGCACGAAGTTTTGCACATTAAGTTGCACTAAAACGAGGAACTATCACCTGGAGGAAACAAGAAGCTACTTTTACTCCAAGATTCTCTGCGTGGAGAATTGCTACGCGGAACAGCTGTTCCTAGATAGTCTCACCTGAGTCCCATGTGGTCTAGTGGCTATCAGGGATAAATAGAAGGGCTAGGTCATTCCTTTGTTCGACTCCTCGCCGACGCGACCCTCATGGAGGGGGTTAAGTGGAAGTAATCTGACGTGTCTGTGTTGCACCTGCTCTGATTTCGCGCGCTTAAAACTGTAGTTTCTTTCAGTTACGAGACGATTTTCTAGAGGTCGCATATCCCAAATTAATTTTAATCATACATATTTGTTTTCTAATAATGCAAATATTTAATAATCTGTGTTTGTCAATTTTCCTTTTAAATTCTATATTTAAAGTATCCTTTATGTAATATGGCTTCTTGTGCTGTAGCAACGTACCGTAACACTTACAGAAATACGAAAGGAAGAGATATCGTATTTTATGCTTTCCAAAAGGACAATTTGCCTTTTGTCGAAAGAATACATACATAAATGTCGACGAACAGGATTCTATTAATCAGTACGAAAAACGGCAAGAATTTGTAGCGAACATTTTCTACGTGCAGTCAATTATGAAGATGACATGAGAAAATCGCTTGCTTGGATTGCCGTAAACAGAAACTGTTGAAAATGCCAATGCCGTGCCGAACAGTAAATTTATCCACGTGCAGTAAAAGAAATAACATCAAGAAATCGGAAGGCAAGAGAAAAGAAAGCTTAATGCAGAAGTGCTTTTGAGAGAACTACATGAATTAAGCCCAAAGAAAATTCATTTTGAGGCCGAGAACGAAATTGAAGCTGACAATAATAAATCAAATGTGAATGATTTTGAAATAAAATTCACAAGTGACAATGCCCTAAGTGGCAATATCCCTGAATGACCTAAATGGAAAGATAAACAAGAATGTATTGATAATTTGAAGAACAAAATAATATCCTTAGAAAATTGTAAAAAATATTGAAAAATAGAGAAAAGAAAAATTTTATAGAATATTTGCTCAGCGACAAAGAAGGTGGACGACAGCTAGAAAGAAATTTGTACAGGAAATTCAGAAATTAAAATCCCAAACAGCGAAATTTAGGAAAATACAACACAGATCGGAGAATTTGGAAAAACGTCTAAATCTTCTCTTTTAAGTCCTGAGTGGCTATGATTTCTGCTTTTCACCCAGGCGGCCCGGGTTCGATTCCCGGCATGTAATGTTAGCACTGTAGACTTCCAGCGATCCGAGTTCAAATCTCGGTGGAACCTGTATTTTTTCTTTTCGAATTCAAAATAATGGATGTCCAAATTAGCCATTCGCACTCCGAAATAAAATTAACTACAAAAATCCCTTCTAGTCTCGAAAAAAATAAAATATATTCAGAGCGTCATCTTCCCCTCTTCCATAACTGGCTGTGAACTTGACTGATGATATACATATTTTTTATACATTTGACTATATTTACAAAACTTGTTGCAAACACCAACCATACATACCAGAGAAAATTTATTTTTATTAATTTTGTTATTTCGTGCCCAAGCGCTTTATGTTCATTGTAATGTATGATACAGCAGATGGTCAACTAACTTTATTTCTGACGATGGCATATACTCGAAAAATAATGTACAGTAGGCGCAAAAGTCAATGACATTTATTAATGCACAGATATATTATTAGTAATATTCTCACACATATAAAGGGTTGTCAAAAAACTCTTCCCCCATATAACAGCTCCTAGTGGCCTTTCCGTTCAACCGATCAAAATGAAATTTCAGATATTGTTATTTGAAGGTATGTGCTAGAGATTGTGATGATTTAAAACAATAGAGCTCTCACGGTTACCATTACAGTAAAAACATTTCGACGTTTTTGAATGGCAACACGCACTTTTTCTTGCTCAAACTGATCATTGCATTGAAAAACCATGAACGACATTGGAACGATAAACTTATCACTAACGTTGCTGGCTTAAAGCATTCGCAAAAAGAGCACCGTAAAGGATCAATGACAAGATGCGACAGGAGAGGGGGGGAAAGGAATTTTACTACTATTGCAAGTTTTCAACGTGCTCACCTTCGCAGAGGATAACGTACTACATGCGGGAAAGTGTTGACAACAATGGCGAATGTAACATCACAGAAAGAATCTGTATAACTTCACGTTTTATATCATCTTTCGGTTCTAAGAAATCTTGTGGATTTGTGTGTAAACCTTAGATTTCAGATAAATCCAAACCAGAGATCCATCGAAGGGCGGTCGGGAGTTCGCGATGACCACGATGCTCTGTGTAATGGAGATGACACTATTTTGAAACTTAACGTACTTTGAAAAGTTGTTATTCCAATAACAGTTTTCCCCCCTGTTTGGGATTGTAATTGTTCCTTTACAATACTCTTCTTTGCAAATGTTTTAAGCCGCCGGCAATTTTCACAGTACGTGCATCGTTCCAACGTCATTTATAGTTTTTCACGCACTGATCAATTTGCGATCTCTTCGCTGCAATTAAGAACTCTATTTTTTAAATCATCACAGTCTTGAGTGCATACTTTTAAATAACTATATCTGAAATTTCATTTCAATTGGTTGAGTGGATAGGCATCTAAAAGTTCATGTATCGGGGAAGTTGTTTTATGACCATCCTATATATAATTAATAATATATAACTTATAATTGAGTAGTCTGTGGCCGGGGAAATGGTGCCAGGTAAAAAATACTGCACCGCTCTTTACAAGGTCTTTTATTCACGATGATTATACATCAAAACTCACGGAGCTGTACACTTGGCAGTGAGTTCCTGAAAAGCTTCACCGAACTCAGCAAAGAAATTACAGAGAGGGTACTAAATGCAAAAGCATGCGTAAAAGGAGATATTCGTTACAGTTCAGTTAGTTTTCATTTATATCTACAGCGTTCACATCTGGTATTGGCTTGCATTCAAGCTTCGTAATAATAATAATAATAATAATAAAATAATTTAAATAAATAAAAAGGAACAAAATTCTATTATACTTACCGGTAGGTGAATAGTTCAGATATTCTGGGAAATAGTCACCTAGCCTTACACCTTTTTCTATTTTCTCTCGAAGTATATCCTGTTTGTTCAGAAACAGAATGAAACCTGATTCCTTTAGAAACCTTCACAGAAAAATACGACAGGAATCCTTAAAACAACGCTCAAAATAAAGAACACTGAAGGTATAGCAAACTCATCTGTTAATTTATCAATGTGGATTTCGGATTATTTGTATCTTCCTTCGTGTACTGTTAAAATGTAGAACTAATAATGTTATGAAACATAAATATTTTATGAATTCCACAAAATATTCATTTCTTTTTATCTGAATTCCCAATTTGATTTTTTAGTAAAACTTCGGGGATTGTAATTGTCTCTGAAGAAAAATCATCGATGAAAGATCATCGATCTTTTGCGAATCTGGAGGTATGTAGAATATTTCCATGGTACTAGATGATAAGTATTTTAAAGGATCTGCTTTTTTTTTAGTTGTACTATAAATTTTGGTTCAAATAAAACTTCCTTTATTGTTCATTATATTGTCTATAATTTAATTATTCATTGCCTAGCTTACATTGCGCAAGTATCCTGATGAGCTTGATACTTGTGTAGCCTAAACTAGGCCATTAAATTAAAACTAATGGGAAGTTCAATTTCAAGTTATAGACATTTTTGATTAATTTTAAAATTAAATGTGAATTCAGTTGGGAAACTGTAATTTTTGTCTTAAAAGTTGGACGTTTTGAAGAAAGTTTTACACTACTTCAGTTACTGAAGTAGCTTTTATATCGTTTTGTAACTTCAATGTTACATTGTTATGTCATTATAAAACTTTTAATGTTTTTCTAAATATTACGTTCAAAAATAATATTGCATGAAGTAGCTGAATGTTAATTAGGCTGCGACAATTAGATGTTTGTAGCGAAGGAACATTGTACTTAAGTGCGTAGAAGCTGCAAAATCTAAAGAAGTATTTTAGCTCCAAGCAATGTTCGATTCTTGACAGGCTGTCGACTCATTAAAAGGGCCTTGTTTTCTGTCATTGGGAAAGTTACTGAACGTGTTTAAAGTGATAGTAAAGCCAGGCGTGAGTTTTAATGAAAAAGGCTTGAAACTGCATTTTACTAAAGAGCCAAAAAAATCATTTAATCTGTTTTGGGTTCTGAAACTTCGGAGTGGGATAACGATAGCGACTGCATCAATTATAGGCATCAATATATTTGCTATAAATATATTGTTAAAAGAATGGTAAATTAGGTTGTGCTAATTAGAACTTACTCACAGCATACTCTGCGGAAAAAAAAAAAAAAAAAAAAAAAAAAACTTGCGAAGTTAGAAACTTTGCAAACTTAAATTTCAAGTTGAAGGAAAGTACCTAAGTTTATTTTGAGAAACGAAGAAATTTTAAAATTGTAAAAAACATGCAAAATTATAAAATTATCGAAATAACGGGTTCATTGATTACTCCTCAAAGATCTTGTAGATCTCTTGAATCCCTAGTATCGAAGGAGTTGTTTTAGTTTACGATGTAGTAAATAAATTAGAGAACTGAGAAAGAAATAGGCAGAAGCATGACGAATTCAAAAAGATTTATATAACAGGCTTACATTTGACTACATGTGGCTCATGCAAGTTTATAATTTAAGTGTGTAAAATTACTCGTAAAAGTCATTAACAGATATATAACATACATGTTGATTATTCTTTTGGAAGGCCTGCTTAGGCAATTTTTGGGTCACTTTTTACTTCCTTGTACGAAGTAAAAAGGAAGTATTGTAATCGCGAAAAGTTTCAGGCAGCATATTTCAACGAAAATATCCATTTTGACCGCTATCGAATGCAATATAACGATGTTTTTGCGTCATATCTGTACGTAAGGACAGAATAAAATACTCTTTTCCTTCAAAAAAAAAAAAATTATAAAACTGCTTTAAAATTAATTCTGAAGAGAATTTTTCGTGGCATCTGTACGAACGTATGTACGTACGTGCGTACGTTTGTGCGTACGTACGTATCTCGCATAACTCAAAAACGAGTAGCCTCAGAACGTTGAAATTTTGTATATAGGACTGCTATAAAATGTAGATGTGCACCTCGTATTTTGGTTGCAATCGGCCGCACCAAACGTATATAAATATATTTATATATATATTCCACTCTATTACCCGGCTCAGTGATCTCAGTTTCTTTACTCTTATGTGTTTGTAAATTGTACATTTTTTGTTTTAAAAATGATTGAATTATGTTGTTTTTATCTTCCGGTTTAAGGATTTTTATGCCTTTAGTAAATCTGTGTGCAAATATTTTTAGAATTATCAGCAATTTAAAAGTTGTTTAATTGCCGCTTAAGCCTAAATTTTAAATAACATGGCGGACCATTGATGTTTTTGCATTTGAAACAGGAGACTAGTGGATTTGTTTGCCAATCTAGAGAAAGTTAGCTTCGCAACAACAAAGATAACGCATTCATTTATTATTGCCAATTAAATCATGCTTAATTCTTTCTGGAATTTTTTCGAGGAGATAAGCGTTTGAGATTTACTTCGTAATTTTTAATATAGATATTTTGAGTTTTTAAGTATTTTTGCCTTCTCGCGAAGTGAGAACTGAATTAATTAAATGAGAAATACTCAATCGTCTGTGAAAAACTGTTTCTGTTTTGTTTTGTTTGCTTAATTTCTTTTATACATAGTTCTAGCTTTATTATAGTATTTGAATAGAACATGTGGCAACGATTAGATAATTCTTTAAATGATATACATTTTGTGCATTCTGAGTTATAATATGAATGAAATATAGTACTGTTAAGTAAACCTAGCGCCAGAGTGTCGCTATGGTAAACAAAGTGAATTTTAAAGAATGCATTTATTCTATTGTGGTTTATGCGCTGTCGGCGAAGTAGGTTTAATTCAATCTAATAAGTTTAAATAAAATGCAAGAAAAATGCGTATAATTTAATATTCCGTACAAGGAAGTCATGTGGTGTACACATCAGATTTTTTTATTTAATTTATATGAGGTGTGATTCGAAATTATTGCAAAAGATTATTTTACTAAAAAGTGCGCCTTTCCTTTTATTTTTTTAATCAGATGAGAAACAGAATATTATCCTAATCATTATTAAGTGCTAGAATAGAATAAGGACTTAACCTGCTTTTCCAAACATCCAAGAAAAGAGATAGAGATTCCTGAAGTCTGTTCGTTTGGTTATCTTCTCGGAGAGTAAGATCAAAACCAGAAGAAGCAACAAGAAATAAAATGGCGGTGATACCGTCAAACACTTGAATCCATTTTCGTCGTTCACCTCTCTGTCCTCCGACATCAAACATCCTTAGTAAAATTTAAAGGAACATTAGACACCAAAAAGTACTGATAGCACATAAGTAAAGTAATCGTTAATAAATTTAATTGCATTCGACTAATTTATTACATGCATCAAAAATCTGAAGAAGATCTTAAATTAAATGTGGATAATTTTTTGTTTTTTATAGATATATATATAAACTTTAAAGTCATAAAATTCTGTAAATTCTAACGAACGTATCTTAATTTATTTATAGAGTAATAGTGATTAACTTTTGCACCTACTTTTGCTGTATTCTGCAAATATTTTTGCTAAACCTTCTGAATGCTATAGAATGGCTGCTCATTTTGAAGCAACTATCTTCAAGGTAGTTAAGACATGGAAAATCCCCTGCGGGTGCAGAAAAAAGTCGTTCGCGGTGCAGAAAAAAGTCAGTGTTGTTCTTTCCAGTGCACAAGATGCAGAGATGTATTTCATACAACTCTCTTGAAATAATTTACGGAAGATTCTTCATTCGTTTGATTCAAGGAAATCCAGATATGAGTTGCAGTTGCAGAGCTTTGGAACCACTTTGACATTTGCATTAAAATTCTTTATTGGACTAAGATTTGACATCTAATAAACCTCAACTAGATCTGAATGATTTTCTGGAGAGATAAGACTAACATAGTCAAATATTATCGATCTGGTCATCTGTTACCTCAGATCTCATTTCGCCGTAGTATGATTGTCGAATGTTTCCGAATATCTGTCATGCAGCTCATAATATAGATAGTGGATATTTAAAGCTTCATTTAGGGAAAGTGAATTTTGTAACATTCACAAATAAGGAAGCGCGTCAGAGAATTAAATTTTTGAAGTTGAATTAATAAGTTACAAATTTTTATGGTTTACGCAAGAAATGCTTTCATACAAAACATTGTGATTTGATATAAAATCCGAAACTATTCAAATTATTTGCTTGAAAACAAAGTTATCAGCTTAGTACAAACTGAATTTGGCATATTGTTTGCACTTCAAATTTTTCTTTTAAGAAATTATTCAGTAGAGTAAAATTTTCACTAAAGCACGGCATGATGAAAGAGGAGTTGAGAAATTCGTGAGGATTTTAACAACTGTAAAAATTCCTATATTAGTGTCAAAAATTCTGCCTTAGCCGAGTAGCACTATGCTCTGAAGTTTCGAGTTTCACCCTTTGTAAACAAAAAAATGTCGCACGAAGGCGAGCTCTACTGCCACCGTTTTACGGTTCTCATTACACTGGTCTGTCTTTGGCTCTTAGTTCCGTGCCGAGAATTTTATGGTGACCAATCGAGAATTTTGTGGTGACCATTTGTGGTAGATTTCATACTGCCTTCTACTAGCAAACAGTGGATTTCACCGAATTTTCAGTTTGAATGGTAGAACTTTTCTAGTGTTTGGAGGGTATTTCTATTGTTTCTATTGTTTGGAGGAACAGAAGTATTTTACAAGGGCAGAAAAAATACTTTTCTTCTCATTATAAATGCTTCACTTATGGTTCGGGGGCAACTTCAGCAGAAGAAATCTCTAGCGCTAGCCAAGCTGGACCGTATGAAATCAAATTTCACAAGTGCCGATCCGATCATGAATCTGAGAAAATTCGGAAAAGCTGTTCAAAGGATTTTCACTTTTGGCAATAAATGTTGATAATTTGAATGTGCTTTAAAGCTTTGAAGTAGACTGTAATAACTTTTTAAAGGGTACCCTCCAAACAATAGAAAAGTTCTACCATTCAAACTGCAAATTCGGTGAAATCCACACAAATGGTCACCACAAAATTCTCGATTGGTCACCATAAAATTCTCGACGAGGAACTAAGAACCAAAGACAGACCGTGAAAACCGTAAAACGTGGTCGTAAATGAGAACCGTAAAACGATGGCAATAGAGCTCGACCTATGTGCGACATTTTTTTGTTTACAAAGGGTGAACCTCGAAACATCAGAGCACAGTGCTACTCGGCTAAGGCAGAATTTTCGACAATAATCTAGGAAGTTTTACAGTTGTTAAAATCTTCAGGAATTCCTCATCTCCTCTTTCACCATGCCGTGCTGCAGTGAAAATTTTACTCTACTGAATACTTTCTTAAAATAAAAATTTGAAGTGCAAACAACATGCCAAATTCAGTTTGTACTAAGCAGATGACTTTGTTTTCAAGCAAATAATTTGAATAGTTTCGGATTTTATATCAAATAGCAATGTTTTGTATGAAAACATTTCTTGCGTGAACCATAAAAATTTGTAACTTATTAATTCAACTTCAAAAATTTAATTCTCTGACGCACTTCTTTATTCCTGAATGTTACAAAATTCACTTTCTCTAAATGAAGCTTTAAATATCCACAGCTATCTATTATGAGCTGCATCACAGACATTCGGAAGCATTCTTTGTATAAGGTTGAAATTGCTGCCTTTTGCATGTTTACAGTTTCATTTACTAAGATGAAATCACTTACAGTAGAACTCCAATTATCCGAATGAGTTGGGACCGTACCCCATTCGGATAATCAAAAATTTGGATAATTGGATTTTTTTCCCAAAGAAAGGTCTATATACACTTTAATTAATTACTGCATGTTGAAAATGGGAGGAAAAAACTATTTTTTTCTCCCATTTTCAAGAAAAAGAGTTAATTAAAATGAAAAGGCAACAATTTTGCGTACATGTTATATAGTGCACTAAAGAGTACTTGTAAGTGCTGAGAGTCATTGCTTGCTGAACATCTCGGTCAAAGTAAGCTGTTTGCCTGTCTTCATTCGTTTTCGCGCAGACAAGACGCGCATCCGCTTGACAATGAGAAGTTGCATGTGGTCACACTCAAACTGCCGCTCCATCCACTTCAACGCAGTTTCAATGCCAGTTCACGAGCTGATGGTCCCGTGTTTGCTTCAACTTCGAAATTAAGGTCATCTTCTTCCTCGACACTTTCTTCTCACACTTTCAATAAGTTAGTCATCATTTATAATTTGAAACCCAGCGTCTGACGAATCACACACCATCCATTCTGCTGTATCCTCAGCACTAACTTCTAAACATGCAGGAATTTTCAAAAGAATGTTTCTTAATTCCTTAAGTGACACGTAATCCTCATCTTCTTCTACCTCTTCCCTTTCCTTTTCTTGAGCTTCTTTTTCCTTTGTCTCCTTTTCCTTCTCTTCTTCAGTTGATTCTGAAAATTCTGAAAGCGATTCGGATAATCAGCGATTCGGAAAGTCGGAGCTCGGATAACTGGAGTTGTACTGTACTATGATGGAGGGCGTTATCCAATTCACTCAGTAAGAGCCTCCGACGTACGTAGTTAATGTGAAAGTGAAAATCACAGTGTGGTAAATGAACTTGCTGTTCCACATTTACAGTAATCGTTGTACACGGTGTCACATATGCATGCAATGGAGGATCCTTCTGCATAACAGCATTTCTGCACATGATCAGGTGTATCTTCCAGCACTACGTGGTTGATTCTTTAGAACATTTATCGCTGAAATTTTATCCAAAACAGCGTTTAACAGAATAATTAATTTACAAATCCGATCCTAATAATTTGTATTTGCAAATGAGAAAGACAGCGTAATGTCGCTTGTACACGTACGCAGTGTCAGTTCTCCTCAATTGCACACTCAAAAAAGCGTAGTTTGTAGAATATCGAAAAAGTTAGCACGACAAATTATGAATGCTTAGTAATGTAAATAACTTGTTATTTTAACTTCTCCCTTTCCTCCCTTTCCTATATACCCAGAAAAATTAATAAATTTCTGTTTGATTCGTCATAAATGCCTCCCAGTAATAAATTTACCCTTTATCTTAATACGGATCACCTTTGAATGACACATAATATAGCTCTGAAGTCAACAATTTAAATAATTCAAAGTTTTGTAGCATCTGAATTACCGCTGCACCAGAACTTGAGAACATAATGTTTCAATTATGTTACACCATCTACATAACTACGATGTAAGGATCCTAAGTTTTACTAACGTTTATTTTATTTTAAAACTTTACTATCTTTCTTATTTTCCACTTCCGGCCAGAATTAAATGCGTTAACTTGTTTATGCAAATTGTACTTGCTAACGCCCAAGTATTTAAGTTATGGCTTTTTGCCAAGAGTTAGAAAGAGAGAGAGGAAGCGAGCCGCCTTGCCACTGCATTCTTACGAGTTTTCAATCAGTTGCTGCTTGCCTTTAAGGCCGAAGTTTAGTCCTCTTGATATTTGAAAACGCATTGTAGTTTCAGAAGTTTGCGTACTACCTACGTAACTTTTTAAAAAGGCCAGTCTTAGTGTTAGGCATTTGTATACTAATTCAAAGTTAGCTTTTAGTTTGAGTTTTAGTTAGTAGTTTTGTATTTTTTACGTTTAGACCACAAGTGGTTGGTCTCTGTATCCCGAAGTACGGGAGCACCTGTAAAGTACTAGAGAATAAATAGTTCGGTATACCCTTCCTGCTTGTGTCGTCTATTCCACACATACTGGAACATAGCTTTAGTAAGTTCTCTGTTCCTATTCAGGATACGTTATGTTTCCCAGGCACGTCAAAAGACATACAAGTCCTGACAACATTTCTGAAAATTACATTTCGGCATAGTTAAAATTAAATCCAATAGTCTGTCTAGATTTTGCAGGTGAGCAACCACCCTCACATTTCTGCAAAATTGCACAGTTGCATTCACTTCCTGTGCACGCGTCGCTGCAGAGATGCAAAGCATTTAAAACTCCATGCATGTACATACCCCAAATAATACTCCATGCATGTTCTGGGAAGTTATCATTTCTTGATGCGCTAGTATAATATCTTTCCATGCAAATATAAATTCGTTACTTTACATTTTGTTTATAAATTGGATTTTTTAAAAATCTATTCATTTTTAAGTCATGATTCGATTCTTATGGAACAACGTAAGGAATATGTACAAATGTAGTTTGCAACGGAAAAAGCAAAATGTATTTATGTATCATCTAAGAAATTGAATAAGCGTTTTAAGGTCTGATTTTCTTAAGCTGGTCCTCATGTTAATTCTGTGAGAGAAACTAAACTACTATCTTTTATGAAAAAAAATTTTGGAAATTTTATAGTATGTTTTAAAATAATTTCTTTATTTCTGTTTCAGTTTCTCCTATTCTTACCAAAAGATTCAAGAATAAAGAAAAATTGCTGATTCTCTATTTTAAATTACTGCCTCATTTCTCAACTCGAGAGAAAAGCTTTTCTTTTCTATCACAAAAATAATTAAATTTTATTTCTCTTTAAATTTGCTACTATTAAACTCAAAGAAGAAACATTAGAAGAAAATATTTTGTTTTCCCACATAAAACAATATTCCAGTATATCGTAAAGCAAATCAATGTCCATTGTAGCGACTTACTTTCCTAAGTACACTTAAAATTATTTATTTATTCTCGAGATAACAGCATTTAATAAAATAAACATCTTATTATACACGAAGCGTTTATTTCAATTCAGAAATTATTTTGTTAGTATTTTTAAAATGATGTAAATTACAGCAGCGGATCTTTTTGTGGCTCTTGAGATTTTTTAATTCAATTACGGGCTCCAGATTTCATTGAATTGTGACCACTAGGGTCATAGATAATAGATTGAAGCATATGATGATTTGTATAATGAACAAGGAAAATTTTATGACCATGAAATATAAAAATTGCTTTTATAATAAGTCTGAAACTTTATATTGAAATTTCTTGAGAATAAATAGTAATGGATTAAGAGTTGCGTAATTCTTGGCATTTATGTGTATATATATACAGGGTGATTCTAAATTGTTTCGACAAATTAAGAGGAGTGATAGTATTCATCCGGATGAGCAATAATTACCATAGAACATAGGGTCTCATTCCAGTATGAGAGGCAGAAAAGAGGAATATTAGAATTCCTACCTGAACTTACAACAGTGTTGGGAGAGCGAATGAAGGAAACCAAAAGTTGCGCAATCAGTTTTTGAAAAACTCACAGAGAGTGCACAAAAGGGATAAAACCGAAAGCTTGGCGTTCGAGCGTTAATTCGAGCTCAGACTTTGATGGCAAACACTAAAAGGCACATCTTTAGTTCGCAAGGTCTCAACCTCGCAAACGATTGCAACGAGTTAATTATCTAAATCAAGGGCTAAATATTATCAACTAGCTCCAACTCAAGATAGTTTTGATACTATTCCCCATGGTAGCAGTTATTTTGCCCATCGCCATCTTCTATCCTGTCCTCCTGGACTTTGTGTGCTGAGCTCATTCTACTTGAAGTGCCCTTCTATAGACACGAAGTTCTGACAGCCGGAACACAGCATGAACTTTTCATTCTAAACTCGGCATACAGCGGAAGGTGGAGTTAGGTGATAATATTCAGCCCTTGATTAGATAATTAACTTGTTGTAATTGTTTGCGAGGCTGAGACCTTGCCAACCAAAGATGTGCATTTGAGTGTTTGCCATCAAAGTCTGAGCTCAAATTAACACTCGAACGCCAAGTTTTCGGTTTTATCCGTTTTGTTCACTCTCTGTGAGTTTTTCACTAAACTGATTGCGTAACTTTTGGTCTCCTTCATTTGCTCTCCAAACACTGTTGTATGTTCAGGTTGGAAATTCTAATATTCTTCTTTTCTGCCTCTGAGAGTGGAATGCGACCCTATGTTCTATAGTAATTATTGCTCGTCTGGATGAGTACTATTATCCCTCTTAATTTGTAAAAACAATTTAGAATGTATGTATTGTGCTGGGAGAAAATTAAATTTAATGGTTTCATCAGTTATAAAATTCAAAATTCCAATATTTACCAAAATGTCTGTATACCGCCGCCATATTTCTTAGGAATCTTAACATCAAATTCAATTTTCTGAATTTCGGTAGTTCGTTTTCTGCAATGCAAGATGTCCTGCGTATAATATCATTAAAATCAATTTCAAGAACATTGCAATTTACTCTTTGCATTTACTCATTATTCTAAATTATGCTTACTTGATCAGACGGAACATAATCCTCTTTACGAATGTAGTCAACTTTATTCAGGAAGCTAACAAAATAATAAATAATAATAATAAATAAATAAAGATTCAATAAAAAGTAATGCAATAGATGGTCTTATTGTAGTAATCATATTGTTTAATCGAGTTAAAAATAACATTGCATCTGAAAACATAAACTAATAAAATATTTGAGCCTATGAATATCTCAATAGTAAAAATTCAAATTTTCTTCGAGGGAATCGCATGCAAAAATATATTCCACTTATTATGATATTACAGTCATCAATTTTTTTGTTTTCATTGAAAAGAGCACTAACGTTTCTTGTCTAACAAGCCCCCAGTGGCCGAATGGCTAAGACTCTAAATACCGGTAGTTCGACCTCGTTTCAAACCTAGACGTGGGTATTGGTGTATTTAATTATGTGTATGTGTGTATGTGTGATTATGGCAAAGCCTCGAGGGCTATCTGCCTAAGGGGAAGGATGCCTTCGTGGAGGACTTTCTAAGGGAAACTGGCTCGTATACACGCTACACATGGGGGAAAACCACGAAAACGCCCATGCAGCCAGCCCGTTCGCGGGATTCGAACCTCCAAATCTAGACGAAAGGGCTAGCTACATAGTTAATTTACCTCATGTGTAACGTGAATACAAACTAGTTTCTGTAAAAATGTCTTCCACGAAGGCATCCCTCTGGTTAAGCAAATAGCCCTCGTGTACTTAGCTGCGTTTAAGTAAGCAAAAAACGCAGTCTAACATATTATTCTAAGTATTATTGTATTTATCCTCTGTTTCATTTGCTATGTCAGCTTATTAGAAGTGTGAATTTTATGACTAAATTTTCGTAAGTTTTAGAAAAACATATCATAGTATTTCTTTATTATAAAATAGGGTACCATGAGACCAGAATTAAATCCTCGTTGCAGAAACCGAACAGAATTAAATCCAAGTTGTAAGATGATTCGCTACCACATGTACAAACTTCTGTAAGTGATTGGACTGCTGAAAGATGAATTGGGATCACATAATAATGCATGATCTGAAACACAATCATCTCGCAGTAGAGGAAGTTGTTGGAGAAGCGATAAGCCGTCCATGACGAAAAATTGTCATCAGGCAGCAGCCCGCAGCAGTAGACGGATGGAAAGTTTCAGAAATGCGAAGTTAGCAAAATTGCATCTAGCATATGGACCAGTAACCGAATCCTCGTACTTTTGTATGGTTACATCAAAGTTAATGTGAAATGGGTTTCTTCAGGAGACGTAGCGTGCATTGGGGACGAATGGCGTGCACCTCCGAAACTGAAGAGATGCAGAAGACACTCCACGTGATAGTGCATTCTATACCAGTACACATCTAATTTCTGCTCGTTGAAGTTTTTTCTAAACTATTGTCTGGAATAGATGAGACTAGTTTTACCAGGGAAGGTTGTATATTGTACATAGCTCCCATGTAAGGGCGGTAATGAATCAAACCCCATACTAAAATAATATGCAGCAGAATACTGGTTTGGTATCAGTGGCTGGGCTACATCGCGTTGTGGAAGACCACTTAGTATGCCCATATCTCTTGCCTGTTCGTATGGACAGACTGTGTTATAAAATTATTTGGCATAAATTTTGCCTCAATTATTAAATGATCAGCAGATACAGCAGTCACTGCATTATAATATATGTTTTATTGCCTAACAAAACCACAGCCCATTTCAGCCGCGACAGTTTACAGCACTTAAATGTAACATTGGAACAAGAGTGGAGGTCCTATTCATTCATTCATATAAAAAATTGCAGAATAAACGATCTTCCAAACTATCCTCCCTCGATTTTTTTTTCTGGTGTCAAACAGAAGGTCTGGTGCACGGTACATCCGGTGGGCACTGAGGAAGATCTTGTCAGTCCAATCTGCATAAATACCTCGACCGTGCGAAGGACGCCTAAAATATTTCAAAACGTGCGGTTGATTCCATTCTGCGTAGATGTCAGGTTCGTGCTGTAGCTGATGGCCGAAACTTTGAACACCATCTGTGATGTATCTTGATTGTAGCTGTTGTTGGATTTTGATTTTATTTCCATTTCTCCTATTCATTATACTCTTCTACATGATGACAACGATTTCGAGCCTTTCTGAGCTCTAGTCGTCTCAGAAGTTTGTACACGCAGCAGAAAATTACCTTATATATTTTATTTAGATTATGCATGCATTTTTTGTATGTACACAATGAATTTTAATTGCATAATTATGGCAGAATTTTGTTAATATATGATTTTTTATAAGAATGTGAGTAAATGTAAATAAATATTTCCAACAGCAAAATTAAACTTTAAATTGCGTTTAAAGGAGATAAGTCTTTTATTTAAACATTTTGATTCAAGGTATTTGGAAAGTACAAAAAATATTAGAATTCGCGTTAACAATAATAACAAGATAAAATTTGGGCTTACACATATCTACGGCATCAAATTCAATACACATTATGTTAATCAAAATATCATGAAAAATTACAAAAAAACGTGACATCTCTTTAAACATTTATGAAAAATCGTTCATTACTACGTTTATCGGTGTTTCAAAATGTTTCCTCAAATTTAAAGATTACATTGAGTATGTGTAACAAACGCGTTTAAGAGGCCGTTTCTTCATGGATAGGCACAATAATTTTTTTAAATTAGTCTTTTATAAAAAGAGGATGAAAATTTATTAAACTTGAATTATTACATCAAGCAGAAGATGCATTTTACAAATTCAAAGGGAGGATGAAGTAGATTTCGATCCTAACGATAGCACTTGTGAAATGATTTCTAGCCAACAGATGGCAGCACTAGATAAAAAATTTAAGAAAAGAGTAAACTTGCCTGCAATGTGAATTATATGCATGAAATGTACAAATGATTTGGGAGATTATAAAGTTGCATTGACACATCTATAATGACATGACTCTGATAGCACAAACAAAGCAGTTTATTAAATTTGGAAGATGTAACAATGAATATCGGTCGTTGTTCCGCAAAAACAAATTTCGTCTTGCTAGTCGCAGTCGCGACAGGGATCGTCTTTCAAATGTTCCCAGTATTTTTTCAAACATCGTAAATGTACTCTGTCTCTTATAATGAAAAGACGCCCCCAAAAGGTCAAGTGAGGTAGCTGTCCACTTTATAAATCCGCTTTTACTTTCCTAGACATATACTGCAACACTTAACGAAAGTTATCATACTTTGTGAAAGCTTTGCAAAATCCTTAATATATGAAAATACATGAAAATTACAATATATTCACGATATTACAATACAGCACTCGGTATATTAAGTACACGAAAAAAACATCAACAAATAAATAATCAGTTAATATGAATTACGAGCAACAACAAGTTACAATTTTATATTTATGTGGGCTTTAAACAGGAAATTTAGGCATTTTGAGGACCCTTAACAGGTATGCCTTGAAACAACAATAAATCTAAAATAAAGGTGTTCTTCACCCTTTTAGTGTCAGACGAAAGTTATGTTAAAGCTAACTGAAAAGCTTTTTCATTTGGCAAATTATATTTCCTTGACACTCTCCATCTACAAAATGTATCACCTTCGATTAATTTCTTCTAAGTCTCTTCCTCCTAAAGTCAGAGTCGTAGCTAGGGTTTTCAGCGCCCAGGAACAACTGAAGATTTTGCGCCCCCTACTGCTTACCAAGGATGGAAACATTTTATTCTAAAATGTTGTAACATCAGTTTGGCGCCCCTTGGATTCTGCCCCCTTGCCCCCCTCTAGCTACGCCCCTGCCTAAAGTTAACCTTTAATCCTTTTCTTTTTATTTTGTTCAATAAAATTCCTTTACTATTGTCCAATTTGTTTTCATTTCCTATGTTTAAGTGAAGTACTTCAGATAAAAAAATGCAGAATGTTTTGTTTCTTAACGGAATGACGCTCGTGTCAACTTCTGTTGAAACGCATAAGGCTATTCTATAAAAACTTCGTCATTACTTTTTGACCATACTCTATTTTTTTCAGTCTCTAGAACATTTTACATAGTTAAGTTTCATTTAACATTTCACATTGCATAACTTTGCTGCCATTACTTAGCACAACATATCTGAACCTAAGTGACAGCTGATTGAGAAAATTAAGGATAAAAATCTCAAAATATAAAAATAAATAAAACTGATTAAGGAAAATATTTTTTTTTAATAAAAGTAACACTATTTAGAAGATATATGTTGATGATTTCCAGAAAATTTTAGACACCTTATCAAAATCCGGAAAAGGAATCCTTTTTTTTTTTTTTTTTTTTTTTTTTCAGGGAAGGAGCAATTTTCTGTACTCATACGGAGTTGTAAAAAGGGGCAAAATTCTTTGTGAAGAACTGCTGGCTTAAAAGAAGACTGATGCATACGATAGCGGGTATGTTTCATCTGACAAACAGATACTTTAACCACTTGCGCTAAAAAACGTGCCACGCACGTCGAGATGCTTTTGTCTCAAACCGCGAACGACGTGAACATCACGTCGATAGGCATTTATCGCAAAAATGAAAATAACGTGGTTCACACGTCGCCTAACAACGAGATTGTTTATTTGTCGAGTTACAGCTCTGGATTGCACTCGCAGACGCGGAGCGGCGTAGAGACACTTTACCGCTTGTTATATTTTAGCGCACGGCACCGCAACCGTGAAGTTTAGTCGTAGCGCAAGTGGTTAAAAGTCTGTACGAAACATTGTACCTATTTTTTCTGTTATGTTTAATGTAGCCACGTTCTTTATTATGCATATTACCATGTCGGAAAAAAAATAGGTATAATTTTTTAATGTCGGGTGCAAAAATATCTTACCGGATACAGTGGATAATGTGACTTCTGTCACAGATAATTTCAGGCACCCTGCTTAAATGCCATCCTTAGATGTTGGACGAATTGCTTTCAAAGTACCTGGGACAACGCTTATTAAAACTTTTGAAGCGAGGAGGCTACTCTGTAATCCAAGCGCGACATGTGAAAGTTAATTCAGTACACATCTTCAATAATTTTCCTACAAATTAAAAACTTTGATCTTTTGATTCTCTTTGCAGGAATCTCAGCAGCTCCGGTGACTGACGCTTGACCATTCGCTAACGAGTCATATTTTTCTCTTGACCTTGCGGGATCATAAAACTAAGTCACGTACCCTGAGTCAGGAACAAAGCTTGTGTGCAGAATTACAAGTGTCCGTGCAACAGTTCAACGAAGTCTACAGCATCACACGCTATCAGCACGGCTTTCATTGTTGAGGCTTCTGTTTACTCTGCAGCAGACACAGCTCATCTACACAGGTGAGGCGAATGATGACACCGGACACAAGAGTGGCATCACGACGTCTTTTCGGAATTTCAGTTCTTTACCTTTCGTTCGCATAGCCGGTAAAGTGAATAGTTGCCGTTACATTTCTGATATGTTAAGGTCTGTGGTTGTGCCCTATCTTCGCCACCTGCGTGAAGCTATCTTTCAAGAAGATACTGCACGACCGCATGTTGCTTGTGCTGTCCTGACCTTCCTTGATACAGAGAGTACGACTGTAGTTCTGGCAAGCACGTTCTTCAGATCTCTCCCCGATTGAGAACATGTGGTCAATCCCATGATAAGATGCTCGCCAATAATGCCGAGAAACTCGTATGCCACCACTCGTAAGCTTCTATGATTGATGAATGTTTGGATAGATTTAAAACTTTATGGAATGAAGTACCCGTATCTGTTATCCAAGTTGTGATCAACTGGATGCCCAGCCAGATTAAAGCTGTTGTAGCTGCCAGAAGTAGCAGCTCTGGTAACTGAATTCAACTTACTGTGTGCCCCAAACCACCTGCAAATTTAATCATATCTTCCTCCCAGTATACTTTAGATGTACAATAAATAAGATTCTGCTGTTTACTTCCCTTCGTGGTACAGCAATTTTAATTGCAAGCAGAAGTGCATCAGATTTTTACTTCCAAAATATTGGAATTCAGGAACTACTTGTTAAAAGGAAATACCTCTTATCGGGAGGATGATTGTATACATGTACGTGTTTATGTTTAGATATATATTATTGCATGTAATACTTTCGATCACGCACGCATCCCAATTTGAAGTCGATTTTTCTTAATAAAAAGAGGCGTTTTATAGTCCGAAAAATATCAAATGTTACACTGTTAATGTACCAAATGTTACGCCATTAATATTGTTATAATCTCTTTACTTGCGTTGAATTCTACAATAAGATCCAGTTTTTCTGAAATTTTCAAAAATTAATTCCTTATTAGTACATAACGGAAAAAAGTAAAAGAAATAATTACTATTTAGCTGAGTCGATAATCGGAAACTCATTCATTCTGTTAAATGCTCTTTGGACTCCTTCATCAGCCCATAGCTTCATGACGTGGTCGTAAAATTCCTGAAAATATAACTTGAATTGTAAAAATGTGCTTTTATAACCCAGTGTACCAAGAAAAAATATATTTTGGAAAACATTTGTTTGTAAATGATTAGCCTAAGTATCTACTTTGATTGCAATATAAATAAAAATGTAACTACAGCACAGTTAGAAAGATTTATACTGTTTAAGGGGGGGGGAGAGAATTGGAAATTTGGCCTTTGCATGCTAGGATGTTGTCATTTACCTCTCTCTATTATCCGTTATCTGCCGTAATATGTAAACTTCAAATTATGTCATGAAGATTGCATGCAGATGGCGCTCATGATGATGTGTTAGTCAATTTTTACATTTAAAGAATTGTGCTATCCAGCAATTTGTCCCAGTTATAAAATCATATTAAATCTACTACCTTTCCTGGCTGCAAGCGTTAATTTGCTATCTACAAATTAAAACACCTCCAATTTCATTAGAGCTTTGTCTACCTAATCTATTACACATAAGCAACACACATTTTATATATATATATTGTATATATATGCAATAAGATGAAGCTTGCAGTCTCGGATGAATTTTAATATACCTTTTTATTTTCTTTTACAAACATTGTTAAGCCAACAGAAATAAAGTAGTACAGGAAGCGATTGTTCTCGAAAAGTTACGTCGATAGTGTGCAGAATTTTGAAATATGTTTTAAACAGCAAGCAACAAATCCAGTTAGCAAGATAAGCAAATACGGTATTTTCAAGATTATTATTCATTTCATTATTATTCAGAGGTAGGTGTATCATTATTCAAAACGAGTTTCAATTTCGATGCATTGATTGGATGATAATTAACACTGTAAAATTATTATTGGCTGAAGGTTTATGTAAGAGCTTTCATCATTATTGGTATATGAGTATCATATGACGAGTAATAATTTTGAAATGACACAATTTAGAGTGCTTTATAATAAGTAGTTACTATTTTTAGAACAGAAAAGAAAAATAGCCGCATTAAAAAGGTTTGAAGTGAAATGAAAAAGTTTTAAAGAAAGCTCTCTAGGTAATTGTATATACTACTAACGCTAATGCTCATAATATTTAGACCTTTCGCACAGCATGTTGCTCCTAACTCACTCTCGTATAACGTTTAATCTGTAACGTGCATATTTTCTTCCCTTTGTTTAAACCGTTATTTTGTAAATAGTACGTAAACAAATCTGTGAATTATTATTTCGATACTTTTATATATCCTGTAAAATGTTCCTATAATATCTAGCATAGTATGTGACTTTTATGAAATTGATATAAATAACCCTATATTTTTGAAGTGCAACATTTAAACTCAATAATATACTGTTCAGTTGTTGCAACACAGTATTCCAATGGTTTTTCTTTCAAGGGCCTTGTATACTCATTTAATGTCTTCCCGGGCTCGTGGCAAAGAGATACTATTTGTTTTTCCTCCAGAGGACACACAATAGCAGTTGAATAATTAATTTATATTATAATTAATAATATATATAATTAATATTTAACAAATTGAATTTTTAATTATATTCGTCGTATAATGCGCTTTCTTTTTTTTTACGAAGACACATGAAAGGTTTGTCTGCGAATTGCGATGCTCTTATCTTTTAAAGACATTTATTCTAAGAATATTTCTTAGGCTTTCGAACAATGGTATACTGAATTGATCACTGCCAAATGGAGAACAAATCGGTAAATTCCCAAAGGTTACGAATCGTTAAGCAATAAGGGGAACAATATGTGTGCGTGAACAATACTTGAGCGGGTAAATAATTCTGCAAGGAGGGTAGATTATATTCAATGCAGGTGTGCATAGGAATGCTATTCTCGAGAAAAGGAGAGCATAATTTGGGGTAAGAATGACCTTTCGACCAGAATGAATTCGCAGGATTAGGACTCAGATGTTTTCTCTTTTTTTTTAGTCATTTGAAGCCGTAATTTTGCAGTGAACATCGGAGACTTTAATAAATCGCTTTTGCTTTACTTAAAATACAGTCGACTTAAGTGTTCCTTTTAGTAGTAAGTATGGATCCTGCCAAACTAAACAAACACTGTGCTGTCTCAAATGCAAAGTCGTCTACGAAAGAAAACGGAAATCATGTTGCAGCAAGGATATTTGGTTAAAGCTCCATATGTGAGTGGAAGAAAAATGAAATCACAGTAATTAATATGCCAAAGAATAAATATGCTTTATATAAAAATGACTTATCCTAGAAGAATATTTTGCGAACTAGGTCCTAGAAAATCTCCAGAATAGATTAAATGTAACAGCTCACGTTTATTTGGCTTAAAGTGGGCAAAAGGGAATGAAAATGAAAACTTTAAAGAAACTTCATAAGGTACTCCCGCCTTCTTAGCATGACTTCGTGGTGCAGTGGTCATCATGCTGGATGCGTATTCGAGAGGTACGTGGTTCGACTCCCGGCGAGGGCATTGCTCGTTTTTCATGACTTCTGCTTCAAAATAATCCTAACGAATCTACAGAAACACCTGAACTAAAAAAGGTGGTGGATGATGCTTCTCCATCACCAGGATTTGGCGATTGTGTCCCCTAATCCCCAGTCGTTCATTAAAAGGGGGGTATATAAGGTATTTCTTACGCCTTCTTAGCATGCCTTCGTGGTGTAATGGCCAGCACACTCGGCGCGTATTCGAGAGGTCCGTGGTTCGAGTCCCAACGAGGGCATTGCTCATTTTCCATGACTCCTGCTTCAAAATAATCCTAATGCCTCCACAAAACTTTCGGTCAACTGTAGACTGTGAAACTCGGGTTTCAGTGGCAGCATACCTCACATGAGAGCTTTGAAGCTGTAACAGTCCTGCGTCTCCTTGTTGAAAGTGCCAAATAGTGATTCTCATTCACCTTTGTGGATCTTAGTTGGCCTCGTTCGGGTATTCTCGAAATGGATCCAATGCCCTGAAACCATTTCCATAAACTGCACACGACACTGGCCACACATTGCACACGACATTGAGTTCTCTAGCCACCTGCCCTTGATAACCTGCCACCAGATACCTTATAAAGCTAACCGAATTCTTTGGAGAAACAAGGCGAGTGTCGTGAAGGAGTACGAGCGCACAAATTGCCAAAAACCCTTCGTGCGTTAATATCCCTTCCACAATCACATCTCCGCAGACACAAACGCGTAGACTTAAGTGTTTGACTTTGAATATTTGCATAATTCTTTGGTGGCTTATGTAATATGTTAGGTTCAGTACTTTTCGTAAAAATAGTCATAATTTGCGAATTCTGTTAATTTCGCTCACGAGTGTACTGTCGCCGTGGGAGACATCAAGTTAGTCTAATCTGTAAACTGAAACACATTAATTTTAAGCTATTAGTAATTCTAGCCTTTTTATCAGCGAATAATTTTGTGATTAATGATATTATTACTTTTATTGAGTAGAACAGAGAGTTAGGTACCTCTCAGTTCTGCTTGACACTTTTAGATATTGTCGCTTTATTTGCAAAAATTGTTACTATTTAGAGCTACAGTAATGAATGAAGATTTTCTCATCACCTGAACTGTTTGTTCAACAGATCTTTACGAATGCAATAGTATTTAAATAGTTTCATTAGTAATATGCACCAATATTTATTCTATTGCAGAAGGAAGTTTTTTATTTTATTTTATTTCAATATTACTTAATTTAAAAATATTTTTGTTTCTCTGAAACAAAAAACAAAATATAACTTTTCCACCAAATTAAGGTATGAATATTTTTTGGGGGCTTTATAATCTTATTTTCTCTTTCCTTTCTGCATGCCTTCGTGTTATAATAGAAAGCACGCTCAACGCGTTTTTGGGAGATCCGGTGTTCAAATCCCGGCTAGAGCACTGCACATTTTTCACTTCTCCAGCATCAATAATTCTAATGACTATACAGTGGCGCCCGAAATAGGTGGTGACCGATAATTCGTCAACACCAGGATTTGACAATTGGGTCTTCTTATCCTAGATGCCCTTTGAAAGGGGGAGTATATAAGGTATTTTTTCCTACCTTTTCCGCATATCTTCGTGGTGTACGCTCATGGTGTACAATGTGGAAGCACACTTGAGGAATATTCGGGAGGTCCGGAGTTCGAACCTCGCCCAGGGCATTGTACATTTTTCACTTCTTCAACATCAAACTCCTAATGATTACGCAGCTTAAACACGTAACGTATTTCTATACCTGCTGTAATAATACAATGGAACCTATTTTTGCTTACGTAGACTTATACTAAAATTAAACATGCCGTTAATGTTTATCTCTGTAAAATAAATTGCATAGCATATTCGTACTGATACTAAGGCATTGTTTTTACCTGATGCAAAATAATAAAATTGCTAACAGCGCATATTATGGTTTTAATAAAAAAAAGGTTATTTAAATTAAATAAGAATAAAAAAAATGCGTGAATTAATTTACATGCAATAATGCTTCGATTAATTTCAGTACCAAATGTCTAGAGACCAGATCAATAGACTACTGTAGTATAATATTCTCTTGCCGCTATGAGCGGCTATTGTTATTGGATTCTATTGTTATCCTGTTTCACTAATATCTTCACTGTAATATTCCATTTCAGCCTTTCCACCTTCAGGCTTTCTGGAGGATTGCTACAAAAACTGTGATGTGTAAAGCATTTTCCTCTCTTCTGTAGATATTCAAGGTGAGATAAAAAAAAAAAAATGCCATTTCAGCTTTTCTCTCTATTCCTGCTCCCTTGATTATGATTGGTAGAGAGATTTTTGGAAAAGGTAGCTTTTCAAAGTAGTTAGTAGTTTTTCAAAAAAAGTTAGTTTTTCAAAGAAAGAGGCTAAAAGAAGTGATAAGACGTATTTTACCATATATTGTTACTTTATTCTGCATCAGGTAAAAACAATGCCTTAGTATCAGTACGAATATGATAATATCAGTACGAAGTGTTTTTCGTATTCATTCTATTCGATGCCCATGCCACGGACATTAATGTTGTATCTAAATAATATCCGAACCAACAGCTTTATGTTCGAAAGTCTAAAGTGGGACATAAGCAATCTACTGAGAAAATCTAAAACCGAATGCTTTCCTGTATATTTTCTCTTCAAAGATAAAATTCAAAATCTTGTTTATTATTCGTTGATGTACTAAAGAAAGAATTTTTTTAAATCTGTATTCTGGCCAGATGGAACATTTATATGCCATAGCCTTCAAAAATATTGTGTTCGAAACGAGTTAAGCATTTTAGAATGTATCTGAATCACATTCTGCTGACAACACACAGAAAAATGGTAAAATATTAACAGTAATAATAATAATAATAGAAAATTAATCTAAGTTAACTCCTCATACCTGTGGAAAGTGATAATCGTCAATGAGACTAATAGCATTCACGTATTGCAAACTCGCCATATTCTTTTCATTATCGAGATATTCTGGAGGCTTCAAATTCATCATATTGCCAGTCAGTTCCTGAATAAATGAAAGAATATCCACATGATTAGTAGATAATATTATTCATATATGACAACCCAAGTTAAAATTCTAATTATAATAGCTTTTTAAGTCCTTTATTTAATTTGCATATTTCTTTTTTCCATTTTCTAAAAATATTAAATTCTAAAAATAATTGCTAATAAATAAATGACGACTTAAAATAAAAAATAAAATCTTTTAGTCAAAAATAATCAAACGAAATCTAAAATTAGGCAAATTAAGCAAACTTATTTTGGTGTAGATTTTGAATATATTGATTTCGAGAACGATCAGACACAGGTCTTTCTTCAGGAGTATATAAATTTTTGAAAAATGACAGGAGCAACGATCGCTTCTATGCCGAAGCATGGAGCGGAGCAAAGTGAACACGAATGTAGTGCCATTTATCGGGCAAAATAAATAGATCAGTCAAGAGGTATTGATACAGCCGCTATTGAAAAATAGACTTAACCCCCTTCTCAGTCTGATATTAGTATAATATCACCTCTACTCAGGGTCCAATTTGTATTACTAACATATACAGTTCGCCATCTCTCTTTAAGAAATTTCCCATAGTTTGAATGAACTCAGATATACTTGAACACACCTGATTCGCTGAAACGATCGCGGGAGGCTTTAAAAATTGCTTTAACTTTTACTGAAAGCTTATATTATATTATTAACTAAATGTTACAGCGTGAGATAAGTGTAATAACTTTATTAAAGATTATGTGTTAAGAGCATGAAATGTAGTCTGACGATTCCTGCAGTGCTATAGGATGGGAGCCAGCCCACGCGGCACCCCTTGGGAGCAACATTTTTCAAATGAAATATAATTGTATAAGTGTTAGTAATATGGAACGTTGCAGCAGAAAGAAGGTTTGTAATCTATTGTAGCATAGCAAAGCTTACAATAGTTATTTGCTTGCTTAAGCAGGGAGGATGCTTTCATTGAGAATTTAAGCTCTCCGCAAAAGGTTTAGAAACAGAACTTTCTCATATTCATGTTACAAAAAGTACACTAGCTCATATTCGCATCAAACATTCATGAAGACAATGCTAGATATAGGTCGACCGTCTCAACCGCAACCCTGGGTGGTATTTTGCCAAAACACATAGATTCATCCAAAAGGGGGTTATTACTTGCTGCGATGTGAAAGGCCACATGAAAGTCTTCTCTCTCCGGAAAGAGAGAACGGAAGGAAAGAAAGTCTCCCATCCTTCCACTCTATTTTGAGAATAATTCGGTCAGAATGGCGCATGCGTATTTGCGCCCATGGTCGTGGATGAGGTGGTCGAACTAAACCAATGTTACACGTAGCGCAAACCACGAAAAACAACTTGCCCGGCTTTGACTCAGCCACTCGATCATTGGTGAGGTTAAAAATCAAGAAATGCTGAGCAGTCTTAAGAAACTGAATTAAGGAATTTTATATTGCCAGAATATCCAAAGAAATTACAGTGAGATTTTAACAGTTCTATGTTTTGCTATGCCTTCATAACTTCGTCGAAACTTTGAATGAAAACTAAGAATGCCAATTATGAATAAATGAGGATAATTCCTCATTGAGAGAGAAATACTTCAAAGTTCTACATACGATACTGCTTGAAAAGACGCAACAGAAAGAACGCAATTATTGCCAGAACTATTGCCTAACTATTGCCAGAACGCAATTCCAAATAGTATAATAATGCTGTGAATTTTTCTCCCAATTGCTGTATGTATATATGCTCCTATAACTTTTTATACTTGCTGTGAGGGGAATTTCCCTACGTTTAAATTAATTAAGAAGAAGATCTGATTTAAAAATCATATTTTACACCTTAGCAATTTAAATATTTAATGTAATATTTACAAAACAGCAATTGGAGTAATCAAACTTTTAGTAATAACCGACGATTTTCTTGACAGAAAAACACGCAAAATAACACTTTAGAATGTTGGAATTAATATTTGTTTAAAGAATAAATCTAGAATCTAAATCTAGATCTATTCATTTAGTTCAGTGTCTGCCATGTGGTACTTGACAATTTTTTGGTGTGCATTGTAAGCTGCAAAACCTCTGGCTACGCCACTGGATTCATGTGATGATAATTGAATGTCTCATCGCCCATCACAGGAGTTAGCAACCTTTTCAGGTGTACGGAACCAAAACGCCTTCCTCAGGCATAACCGAAATTTTAGGAATTATTATTACAGCAGTTTCACATGTCAGGCGAAAATGAATAAAATCAAAAACTAATGACAAAGCTTTTATGCAGAATCTTTCTATTCTTCTATTCTTGAGGAATTTTTATCAGCCCATAAATATAATTGGCTTTAGCTGTCATATACAGCCACTCGGTTTAAAGATTCATTTTTGATATCAGAGAAAATATAAATAGTTGTTTTAGTTTCTTTTCTCCCTGGAATTGATAAAATATTTGAATTTTGTTCTGAATTTCTTTTACCTACATAATTTTTTTTCCAAATTTTTCCAAAATAATTTAAATTTCCAGTTTTTCAAGAGTTTCACTTGGGATAATATGTAAAATAACAAACAAAAGAATAATATAATAAATATATTCATAATTTAAGTACATTTGGATAATAAAGCAACCTTCAGCTTCCGTTCAAAATTTGTGGGCCTTTTTTCGTACGGATTCGGATTACTCTAAATAGTACTTGAAATTATGTGTAAAAGAAATGGATTACTCTAAATTGTCTTGAAAGACAGACAGATGACTTACCATCTCGTCCTGAACTCTAAGTAAAAGAACTCCGACTCAAAAGAATGGTAAAAATAAACTTTTTTTTTTTTATTTAATCATTAGCTTAAAGGTTACACAACGTGTGTAATAACAGAAAATAAATTGCTACAATTTGCGAAAAACAGAGCAAATATTAAATTAAAATTTAAATATTAAATTACAAGGCAAAATGGCCTATAGATTTTGTCCAAAACCCTCAGAAACACCCGGCAATTACTACTAGCAAGCTAAGTCTGATTCAAATAGAACTCAGTTGCTCGGAGAAATAGCAGCGAGATGGTTGACAGCAGTTGTTAAAAGGTGTCCCCTGCATTTGGAACATTTTCAAGCCTATAACTACCTGCGGGTTTTTATATGAATCTCTGGAGATATTCCCCGAAAGAAATAGTGGAAAATATTAAATAATGCCCAAAGCGCCGCACTAATTGAGTGCAAAATTATGTTGTCGAGCTGGTGACACGGTGAAGAATAGAAAGAAATGATAGAATTTTTTCCGTTAGATTTAGAGAACGATAGCTCGAATTGGTAAGTATTGACCTTATACCTTATCAAGGAGACAGAGAATTCTTTCACTCTCGATGCTATGTTTTGATTTCCTACCAAGCAGGTTGTATGCAGAACAACATGTAAGCGGAGTTAGCTTTAATGAGCATATTCAACGTGTTTCATGAAGATCAATTTGCTATCCGAAACGGCTCCTAATTATTTTGTTGAAGGGACAGTTGGAAGTTGAGTACTACTGACGAAAATATGATTTAATAGCCTAGCATTCTTGTTATGACTTCTGAAGATAATAATACTGCCTTTCATTCGGTTGATACTGATACTCTACCCTGCGCACCGGTGATACATATAGTTAATCCTAAGTTGGGATTATCCATTGCATAATTTGGTTTATATGAAGCACTTAAAATTGCTGTATCGTCAGCATATTTAGCATACAAAATGATATAGCAGCTCATTGATAAACAAATTAAACAAAATTGGGCTTAGATCAGAACCTTGAGTAACTCCGGCTGAAATTCGTTTTCTAGCTGAGAGTGGGTCGCCAGTGCGAATTTGAAACGTTCTATGTATTAAATATGAACAGATTATTTTAGCAAGCTTGGGAGGGAAACGAATGTTATGACTTTCAAAATTAACCCTTGATGCAGACGCAGTCAAATGCTTTTTCGAAATCCACATAACATGCCGCTACTGACATCTTTTTAATGAAGGCATCCGCAGTTTTATCGTCCATAATAAACAAACGATGTACTGTGCTATGGCCTTTGCAAGACCCAAATTGGGTTCTGTCAAAGATATTATATGCCTCAGTTGCTCTATGAACCTTCTTCCTTAAGCTCAAGAAATCTGTGCGTGCACAGCTGATCTTTCACATTGCTTCAAAATGTGATTCTCGGCCTGTATCTAAAGTCTTATTAATATTAAAAGTGTTTTGAAATCTTATTCAAAACATTCCATACATGTTTTAATACAAAGAGAAATAGTGCAATTGCTATACTACACCAGTATATCGTCGAATTTATTCTATGTTACTTGACATTGAATCATTTACTATTAAACTCAAAGAACGTAATAAGACATAAAAAACAAGTGAATTTAAATTCATAACATGTGCTTGCACTTTCTTAGCTTTGCAATGCATAAAAGCGTCGTCGTTATACCTTTCGTACCCTTAAATTTTGCCACAATCAAAATTTAAGTCAGTGTAAATAGAATACTTCACATATGTAATATGTGCAGTACGTACGGGTAATTTAAATTTTTGACTTTTGCTGCCTGTCTGAGCTTATCATCTCCAGGGAATATCTAAGTTGCCAGTACTTTACAAGGGTCCGCTGTACCAACATTTTTAAAGGTGAAAAAACTTCTGAAACAGTCTTTCTTAATATCACTTTTTCACATTACTATGTGTTACTTCTTTCTATATTAAATAAAATTAAATGCATCTTATCCTTAGTAATTGGATGTAAAGAAACTTTAGGCTGTGTCTTGCATGAAAAAATTTTTCGTATACAATGGAGTGGATTACGGAAAAGAAAATGAAGGCCATCTGCCAAAGGGAATGGAAGCCTACATGGAGGACTTTTAAGAGATATTGGTTCATATTTAGGTTGCACATGAGGGAAACCACGAAAAATGCCCTGCCTCTAACCTGTTCGCCGGGATTTTCATATATGGCGAATTACCAATGTTCACTGATCTTACCGCTCCGCCCCTTGCTGGGCCATTTGGCACACAGT